TGGGTGCTGGGTATGGGCTCTGGGTTGGAGCAGGGGGCTGTGTGTGAGAGGGAAGCAGCATTTACCTTGGGTGGCGTGGCTCCCAAAGCGACCAGCACATCCCCCCCTCTGGCAGCGGCTCCTACGCAGGGGGCGCAAGGGGTCTCCATGCACCGCTGACTGCAGGCACTGCCCCCAGAGCTCCCATTGTCCACAGTTCCCAGCCAATGGGAGCTGTGCAGTCGGCACTCATGGCGAGGGCAGCTCATGGAGAAACACCCCCTCCCCAGGGGCCGTAGGGACACGCCGGCTGCTTCCAGGAACGGCGTGGAGGGAGGGAGGAAGGGAGGCATAGCAGGCAAGGAGCCACCTTAGCCTTGCTGCAGGCACATCTCTGCACACCCCTTGGGGGGAGAGGGGCATCAGGTCTCCATGCACTGCCCGGGGCAGGAGCAGCGCACAGAGTCGCCTCCCCCCACCCCGCCAGGGGTGCACAGAAACATGCCAGCACCCGGCCACTTCCAGGAGCAGCGTGGGGCCACCAGCCACAGCATGCAGGCAGCCTGCCTGAGCTCTGCTTTGTGCAGGCCAGGGACTCAGGGGCAGGTTGTCAGGTGAGATTTGTCCTGCATTTTGGCGGGCCCCCTGTCATTGGGGGTCCCATGACACTACACGGTTTGTTTCATGATAAATCCACTCCTGGATACACTGGGGGATGAGATCATTTTTTCAATATATTTTGAATAAGGATAGTTTAAAAAGCGTCAAATGCCCTAAATCTTAAAAAACAAATACTAGAGAGAAAACAACCTCATTCAAAAATTATTGAAAAGGTGCAATACTTAGTAGCTGCTTCTGAAGTGCCTACAAAATACACTGAGGATTCTTCCACAGAATCCATTCTCCAAAGTGGAACATCTTCAGTAAGAACTAATTATTAAGCCTTTAAGGTTAAAGGTAACTGAGCAACCATGTAATAGGACCCTTACTATATGTTCACAATCTGGAGCTTCATTACAACAGCATTATGCTGTTCTGTATTAACTGTATGAAAAAGCAAGGAGAGTAGGATTAAATACTGAAGGTAGAGTAGGTTTAAGTACAACAGAGGCTCCTGAGCAGATGGGTGACTGGATCGATCCATAAATCTGTCTTTATGGCAAGTTACCAGTTTGCTAACTGGGTGCCAGGGTTCACAGACCAGGTTTTTACCAGATTTGAACTTTGAGCAGTTTTCATTTCAGCACTTCACTAAACCACATCAGCAACAGGACAGGTGAAGGGTATTTTGTTTATAAATGTTTACAAGTGCCTTAAAAATAAAAGATCACAAGGAAAACCTGAGAGGACTCTATCCCTCTGCCTACATGCCCTGGTTTGCCGTTCCCAGGTCAGCCAGCATGACAGTGACTCAAGTATAGTATTAGGATGACTAACACTGAAACTGACTGAGATCCGTTGAAAGGAGCAGTAATCATAACAGAGGCAATAAAGAATACACTAATAACTGCATACTCCTCCGAGGACAAGACCGACTAAAATGGTTTAAAATGCAGAAGAAAGAAGAACAGCGATGCTAAAACAGACTTGCTCTAAGGCTGCCGTTCACTAAAAGGATTATTACGTATGCTATTAAAGACATATATACAGCACATGGCATTAACAAATGATTGCATAAAATGTTGCATAGCTCTGAGAATTAAACTTAAGGAAAAAATTATACAAGCGATAGTAATAACAACAACAGTGATTTACATTCACTAAAGAGATTGTGCATGGTATTTCCAATGATAGGGATCAGCTAAAAAAACTACCAGACCTCTCAGACTCAAAGACATAAAAATACGTTAAATTAGGGAAGCAGGAATAAGAACAATTGGAGATGCCTTTAAACAAGTCAATTTAAATTTACATAGATTATTATAAATTATTATCTTGAGAGCAAGTTAAGACTGGGGCAGTGGAATGAAGGATACAAGAGGACAGGAATGCAATAGGATTTGGTGTCCGTGTGAGAGGGGCTGGGGGTCGGATCGGGCGTGTGTAAGAATGAAATTTTGAGCGAGTTGTCTTGCCTGGGATTTTGGGGTGATGCTCTCTCTCCTGTCCAAGTGGAAGACAGAGAGATAAAGGGGATGTAAGTTGAGGTTTGCAGGAGAAATGTACTGTTTTCAGCTAAGGCTTTTGAAGCACCACTCACTGTGCAAGGAAAAGGATAGGAACTGAAGGGGGGATATAGAGTGGGTGTAGGGGTATGCAAAGTGGAATATGGGGGTGATTGTGCGCATACATGCAGGAAGGGGGGTTAAGCGTGCAGGGGACTGGGGGTCTTGTGTCTCTCTTGCCTGCGATTGAGGGTGTACGGGTTTAGCTGGGGTATAGGAGGATTAGGGATACACAGAGTAGGGTAGCTATATAGGCTACAAGGGCAAGGATAAGGCTGGGCTGAGGAGTGGAGGGTGCACAAGATGGGATGTGGGGGTGCAGAGAGGAGGTTCAATGAATGCAATGGGGTGAGCTAGAGTGCAAAGAAGAGGTGCAGTACCTGTAATAATGTGGGCAGAGGGGGTGCCTGGGCTAGGGGTGCAGAGGGCAGGTGCAGTTTATGTCATGGTGAGGGCTGTGGGTGCAGATGGATGCATGCTGTGGGGGTACAGAGGGCAGGTGGTCTGAGCTGGAGGTGCAGAGAGCTGATGCAGCGCATGCCATGGATGTGGCAGAGGGGGCGTCTGGGTTGAGGGTGCAGAGGAGAGTGCATGCTTGTGGTGGGGTGCAGAGGTGGGTGGCCAGGCTGGGGTGCAGAGGACAGGGGCATGTACGCAGTAGGGTGAGCAGAGGATGCAGACAGGAGTAGCATATGCCGTGGGGTAGGCTGGAGATATGCATAGGGAAGTGCAGTGAATGCCATGGGCTGGGCTGGGGGTGCCAAGGAAGGTGAAGTGTATGCTCTGGGGGTACAAAAGACAGTGCCTGGTCTGGGGGTAGAGAGAGGGGTGCAGCACATCAAGAAGGGGAGCCCGGGCTGGGGGTGAAACGCACACTGTGGAGGTGCAGAGGAGGTAGCTGGTGCTGCAGAGTACAGTGCCCCTGAGTGAGCATGCAGAGGGGGGTGCAGTGAGGGGTGCCCAGGTTGGGGGTAGAGAGGAGTCCAGCGCATGCATGGGAATACCTGGGCAGGAGGTGCAGTGCACACTGTGGGGGTGCAGAGGAGGTGCCCAGGCTCAGGGTGCAGAGAAGTGCAGTGGAAATGAAGAGAGAGGTGCCAAGGGGGGGTGCAGTAAATGCTGTGGAGGTGAAGAGGGGGTTTTGGGGGTGCAAAGGAGTGCAGTGCATGCTGTGGGCTGGGATGCAGAGAGGAGTACAGTGCAAGTCAAGGGTGTGCTGAGGAGGTTCCCAGGCTGGGGGTGCAGAGAGAGATACCAAGGGGGATGCAGTGCATGCCATGAGTGTGTGTGTGTGGGGGGGGCATTCCCATGCTGGGGGTGCAGTGCATGCTGCAGGCTGGGCATGCAGAGAGGGATTCAGATGGAAATAAGCTGCACGCTATGAAGGTGCAGAGGGGAGTTCCCAGGCTGGGGGTCTAGGTGAGTGTAGTGCATGTCCACAGGCAGGACTGGGGTGCAGAGAGTACAGCGAGGGGTTCCCGTGGTGGGGGTGCAAGGCATGCCCACAGACTAGGTTGGCAGTGCAGAGGGGAGTACAGTGTTCACTGTGAGTGTGCAGAGGAGAGTTCCCGGGCTGGGGGTGCAGGTGAGTGCAGTACACACCATGAGGGTGCAGGGTTCCCGTGGTGAGGGTGCAAGGCATGCCCTCGGGCTGGGCTGGGAGCGCAGAGGGGAGTACAGTGTTCACCGTGAGTGTGCAGAGGAGAGTTTCCGGGGGGGGGGCAGGTGAGTGCAGTGCACACCATGAGGGTGCAGGGGTTCCCGTGGTGGGGGTGCAAGGCATGCCCACAGACTAGGTTGGCAGTGCAGAGGGGAGTACAGTGTTCACCGTGAGTGTGCAGAGGAGAGTTCCCGGGCTGGGGGTGCAGTGCTCACCGTGAGGCGTGCGGGGGTGGGGGCGGTTTCCCGTGCTCGGGATGCAAGGCATGCCCTCGGGCTGGGCTAAGGGTGCCGCTCACCTGGGGGCTTTAAGCGCGGCGCTCTCCCTCTTGTCCAGCACGCCGGGCACGCAACTGGTGAGCTCGGTCCAGTCGGCGTGCAGCCCGCAGCTCCAGCCGGTGGAGAAGCGCGAGAAGAGCCAGGTCTCCCGGCGGTTGGGCCGGTAGCAGGTGCACTTCTTCTGCCCGGGCCGGCAGTCGCAGGGCACCTCGAGCCGCACGTTCTGCACCAGGTGGCGGCCGAAGGTGGTGCCGCCCGTCTTCTGGATGTGCAGGAAGACGATCACGTCCTCGCCCTTCATGTCGAAGGCGAGCGCCCGCTCCAGCGCCCGCACGGGGAAGTAGTACTTCTTGACATAGTGCGGGTCCGGCGTGGGGAAGAGGTCCAGCTCCTCGGCCGGGGCGCGGCCGCTGGGCGCCCCCAGGCTCAGCCCCGGCCCCACGTACTGGTACAGGATGAGCATGAAGCACACCGAGCCGGCCACGATCAGCAAGAACTTGCTGGTCCTTTCAACCATGCTCCTGCCAGCGCGCCTCATGTGTCACCATCTCCCGGGGGTGGGCACGGTCCGGTCCCGTCCCCCCACAGCGGCTGGCACCTGGGGCAAGCCCCCCCTTCCTCCTCCTCCTCCTCCTCCTCCGGCGAGCGGTCCCGGGGCGCTGCGGTGCGGGGCAGAGCGAGCGCCCGGCGGGTAGCAGCCCCCTCCCCGGTCGGTGTCTTCTCTCCCCAGGGCTCGCGGGCCGGGAGGCGCGCGGCTGCCGGGGACGGGGGGACTGGCTCGAGCCCTTCCTGCCTCTAGCGCGAGCCCACCATGATCGGAGCCCAGCATGCACAGCGCCGGCGCCGCTCGCTCCGCTCCGCTCTCCGCGGCAGGCTCGCGCCGACAGCGGCAGCGCGAGGCAGAGAGAGACAGCAAAGCCCCGCAGCCCTTTCAGCTCTCAGGTTGCAAGCACCCGCCCGCAGCCTTTTTTCCTCCCTCCCCCTTTCCACTTCCCACACACCCGCTAGCTCCGCTTGTGGAGCTCTCCAGGCGCCCAGACTTTTACAGTTCTCCTCAGGGAGCAGCAGGACGGACCCCTTTGCCCCCGCCCCACCGGGTTGCCAAGGTGTAGAGCTGCTAAGCTGTGGCCATTTAAATAAGGGAGATTTCAAAGGCAGGAGGGGAAATTTGGGGGAGGCCGTAAAGGTCTCGTGGAAACACTCTGCAATGCAACCATCCCTCCGAGGAGAGCCTTTGCATGCAGCCTTGAATATCACCTGCAACGAGAGAGGTTTGGCACAGCTGAGTTTCTATATTTCTCCTCCCTTTTTGAAACAAAATTACACAGGTGCTGCTGGAAGGGGTTGCCCTGGCTTAAAGTGGATCCATTATATACAGGGATTACAGTTCGATTGAATGGCTCCCAGCACCTCTGCAAAATTATTAGCACCGAAGGGCATTTGGATGAAAACAGAATAGATCTGCTCCTTCCCCAGGGGACGCTGTACGCCTCTTGTTCTGATGTCACACAACTGGGTGCCGCAGACTTTATTCTGATGTCTCAGTGAGGCTTATGATGTCTGTGGGTGGGAAAGAAAGAGCAAGCATGTGTGATAAACTTTATTGGGGGGGAGGGGAGATGTTTTCATTTGTGAGCCCTGTAATTTTTTAAAAAAGGGAAGAGGTGGTTGGCCTAAAAGCAAAGTCAGTGGATGTGGTATCGACAGAAAAGCATTTATAATTACAATGCTTTTGCAAAGTTATCAGCAAAGACTCCTGCTCAAAATTAACCCTGGCAGGGAATCCAGTTACAACATAATAGTTCCCAGCATGGTTAAAAGATGGTCAGGGAACATAGGAATTGCTATGCTGGATCAATCACAGCCCACCTAGTGCATTATTCTGTATATGACAGTGATCAACACTGCATGCTCAAGAGGAAGATGCAGGAAACTCCTCAATAAGCAAATAATCTTCAGTGACTAAAGTAGGATTGTGTTTATAGCTAGGCAAATGCTTAAACACCTTAAACAGGGTCTAAGTGAATAAAATAAACACTGCTTGAAAATCTTGAGGAGTTCCTTCCCATACCAGAGGATGGAGGGTCTAGTGGTTAGGGTGTTCGCTTGGGAGACCCAGGTTTAATTACCTCCTGTGCCACAGACTTCCTGGATGACCCCAGGCAGGTCAGTTAGTATCTGTGCCTCAGTTTCCCATCTGTAAAATGAGGATGAAAGCATTTCCTTACCTCACAGGGGTGTTGTGTGGATAAATACATTGAAGATTGTAAGACACTTAGATACTAATGTGATGGGAATCATGTAAGTACCCAACCTTGGAATAGGTTATTCTCGATGCAGAGTCCCGGATACCAGAAAATGCCTCATTATATTTTATTTTCTGTAATTATTTCTATGCTCTATGTTTTCATGCATTTCCACTGATCATTTAATTTAACTATGTTATGACTAAATTTCAAAGAGTCACTAGTTCTTTTCCTCCACCAAAAATAGCCACCGAGTTTATATAAAGTGTAAATAAATAAAATGTAGGTCACATCTTGCAAAGAGCTGGGTCCTATTTATAAGGAGTAAGGAGAAAATGAGAGACAAGAGCTTAGCCTGAACAGTATTACCAATAAATCTGCTGGATTTTGAGATGACTGCATTACTCACTAGTTGCAGAGCCACAGTGAGTTATGTAGCTCTTCCCAAACAAGTAACAATAAAATCTTTATAGCACCCCAATGCTTCATATATTGTGTTTATGCCATTTATTTTGTTTGATAAATTCCTTTTAAAAGTCTGCTTCTGATTTTTCCCTTTTCATGTATGTTAGAAACTCCAGAAACAATGATGTCATTGTTATATGCAGTGTTTAGCAGCATCTGCAAATGTAGCATAAACTCAGTTTAAGGTCTGAAATTTATATTTTGATTTGGAAATATGGGCATTTATGTGATGGTTTATATAAGTGGTTGGAATATATGCTGTATCATAAAAACTACAAAGTAGTTCTTGGTATTGATGTTTGTCTCTGGTTGTAAAAGATTATAACCAGTAGAAATAGCCCGTTGTGTTAATTCCAGTTACATGGGTTATTTATTGTTAATGACTTGATGGTAACTCCAAGATAGAGAATATTTTAAAATTTTTGTTTAGCTATGATAGATTCATGAAAAGTTGTAAAGGTGGAGATGTTCCATTAGATTCTATTACTGGTTTTTATTTGTGGTGAGCATACCATATGTTATTTTGGGATAGAATACACTAAAATATAATTTACAGAACATAAACCCAGCCACAGAAGAAAATTCAGAGATATAGTTGAAAATCTTGTGTTTTCTGTACTATAGCACCTTTCATCCAGAAGGATTGCAGAATGGTTAACATACTGGAAGTATAAGGAATTATTGTACACTTCTGAAATGCATCAGAACATAAGACTAGCCATGATGGGTCAGACCAATGGTCTATCTAGCCCAGTGTCCTGCCTTCTGACAGTGAACTGGGCCAGATGCTTCAGAGGGAATGAATAGAACAAGGCCATTAACAAGTGATTTACTCCTGTCATCCAGTCCCAGCTTCTGGCAGTCAGAGGTTTAAGGACACCCAGAGCATGAGGTTGTGCCCCGACCATCTTGGCTAATAGCCATTGATGGATCTATCTTCCATTAACTTATCTGATTCTTGTTTGAACCCAATCATACTTTTGGCCTTCACAACATCCTCATGAACAAGTTCCAGAGGTTGACTGTATGTTGTATAAAGAACTACTTCCTTATGTTTGTTCTAAACCTGCTGCCTATTATTCATTGGGTGACCTCTGGTGCTTGTGTTATGTGTAGCAATAAATAATACATCCTTATTCACTTTCTCCACTCCATTCATGATTTTATAGACCTCTATCATAAGCCCCTGAGTTGTCTCTTTTCTAAGCTGAACATTCACACTTTTTTAAATCTCTCCTCATATGGAAGCTGTTCTGTTCCCCTAATAATTTTTGTTGCCCTTCTCTGTACTTTTTCCAATTCTAATACATCTTTTTTGAGTCAGGGCAACCAGAACTACATGCAGTATTTAAGGTGTGGGTGTACCATGAATTTATATAGTGGCATTATGCTATTTTCTGTCTTATTATCTATTCCTTTCCTAATAGTTCCTAACATTCTGTTCACTTTTTTGACTGCCGCAGTGCCGCTGCACATTGAGTGGATGTTTTCAGAGAACTATTCATGCTGACTTCAAGATCTCTTTCTTGAGAGGTAGCAGCTAATTTAGACCCCATCATTTTGTATGTATAATTGGGATTATATTTTCCATCAATGGGACAAGGTAGGTGAGGTAAAAATCTTTTACTGGACCAACTTCTGTTGGCAAGAAGAATACCTGAAGAGCAGCTCTGCATGGCTCGAAAGCTTGTCTCTCTCACCAACAGAAGTTGGTCCAAAAGCTATTATCACACCCACCTTATCCCTCTAATATCCTGGGACCCACACTCAACTACACTTCATTGAAATCAATGTGAGTTAGGCACTTAAATATCTTTGAGGGCCTGGGCCAAAACCCCCAACATCAATGGGAGTTTCCCCAAGCAAGGATCATATACTGGGTTAAATCTGCAGCACATTTGGCCAGCATTATAGATTGGCTGGAGGGGAAAAAACAACACATAAAACCCACCACATCCTTGGATTCTGGGAGGTTAGATCTTGCACATGGGACCAATGTATATTTTTTGTTTAAAAAAAATACAAAAACTCATAACTAGGACAGCATGAACAGGCTAAGCAGTGGGTCAAACTGCTATCAGTTACAGGATAAGTCTGGAATATTTAATTTGTCACTCCTGATTTATGCCAGTGTAACAGAAGAATTTGGCCCAATCCATGCAATCACAGAGATTGTGGCTGGGATTTTCAAAAGAACCCTGTTGATTTAGGAACAAAAATTCTATTGATTTTTCAATGAGACTTGAGTTCCTGAATCACAGTTGAAAGTCTATCCTTTTTTGTAGCTTTCCTCATATAAACCCATATTTGTGATAACTGATATACTTAATCTGTTTGGGTAATTGTAATTACAATGTTATTATTTGCCACAAACACATTTAAGCCAGCAGCACGTATGTGATGGAGTATAAATCAAATTGTAACAGGTACCAAAACTTCATGGTCTCAAGGCGCACAGCACGAGAGAGCATGGTCTAAGCTGATAAAGCACAGGACTGAAATTAGGTGATCTGGATCACATGCATGGGGAGCTTGCACAGTGCTTTGAATGAGTAAGGACTAAGCATTTTATTGAGTGTTATTTCCAGCTCTGTCCCCTGGGCACATCACCTCACCAAAATTAAGCCTCAACATCCAAGTGGTATGCCATTTCACAGAAGGGAAACTGAGACACAGAGGTGACCTTTTCAGAGCCTTTAACGGAGCATGTGGGACAGCAATTATTAGTATATGTTGCTGCCAAAGAAAATGCTGATAAACTCTTCTGGCAAGATGTATTTATTCCTTGTTTAATCATAAGTGATCAAAATAAAAATAACTGACAAATACAGGAAAAACACAAAATTGGATATTGTATCCTGAATCTTGCTACATTTGGTGTATTTATGCAAATTTCATGTTTTGAATGCTGCAGGTTAGCAATATGGACATCTAGTCAATTTTACAAAATGCATTTTTTGCCCATTTTTCTGGGTTTAGTGGTTTTGCAACATTTTTCCCATTTAAAAAAAGTTTCCTCCTATTGCTGCAAACGAGACACGCGAACTGGGGGAAAAGTGGCTGACTGGACATGTAGTTTTACTGTAAAATCAAAGTGCTTTCGTATGCACAAAGTGAACTGCAAGAGAAAAATGTTTTTTTCCAGTGTCTTTGTTTGAGATTTTAGGTGTTACTTCTTATGACGAGCTATATTATACCATCAAATTCGACACAAGTAAGAGGTCAGTGGTCCTAAAATGGACAAGATTTTCAGACAGATGTAGGGTCTTAAAATTGATAGTTCCCTTTAAGTATGATATGCTGTTGGTTTTCATCAGTAAGGAGATCGGGGTCTTCTCTTGATGAGGAAGAATGGTTGAGTTTAGATCAAGTGTTACCTAAGTTTGACTTAAACTCAACCATTTTAATTCCTCAGGATACATCAAGGAGGGTAAGCCTCATGAGTTATTCAGGATAAAAGACAGCGGTGGGGTCAAACAAGGAAGAGGAGAGATTTTTGCAGCTGACAGCAAGGAGTAATAAAATGTTCTCAAATGCAGTGGGAAAGCACTTGATCATTT